TCCTTGACTGGTGTAAGCACCGCTCAGCAACAACTATAACATCAGTGGGTTATCAACATTATTCTCATACTAGACCTAAAACATACTACACCAGCTACTAGGAAGAAAATTAACTCTATCCCAGCTGAAACCAGGACATCCACTCACAGAATTATATATTTTCTATTTATCAAATCCCATTGAATTAGCTGTCAGTTACATTTTAAATATTTAAATTTTCAAGAAAAGGATCACCCAGCATTGTCCTCATGGCTAGGCCATTACAGAAAACATGATTAATACCAGTGGATATCATTCATCTCCTATAATAACACTGCTTTTATTAAGTGTTGGAGCTCTGTAAGATTTTATCTTCACACATAACTACATTAGTGTGTATAATAGATATAATCTGAAAAACTTAATTTACTTTCCTTAAGTCACCACCCTTTCAAAATCCTGAGTGCATAGTGTTAGCCTGCATGTGTATGTGTTCACAATTAAACATGAATATATATGCATAGTGCAGCAGGAGAAAGAGAGGAAAAAAAACCCAAAACCAAACCAACAAGTCCAATACCTTTTAGGGAAAATCAGTAGCATTTCAGAAACTCAAATCAAAGCTTTTGCAGAGTCACATATTAGCAAATGAATACAAAAAGACAAATTTCTCACCAGGAGAAATTTTTTGTTGTTGCTGTTTTTTTAAAGAAAACCTTTTCTAATGAGCAGAAGAGACAGTTTATTACACTTACCTTAAAGGGAAAGGTGTCTGAATGGAACATTTCAGACTATCAGGATCCCTAAATGGCTTATGGAGACTGATACCCTTTTATAGTGTTTCAATTAATTGGCCATGGAAAATCCTCCCACAATGGTATTAGATACATTCTGGTGGTTTGGAAGCCTCTAAAAAATACATATTTTTTGTCTTCCCCTCCTATTCTTTCCCTGTTCCCTTCTTCACTTCCCACTCTTTTTTCTCAGGACCAAGGGCCAAGCTGACCTCCAGGGCTGAGCTGCTTCAGACATCAGGAGCAGCAGTTCTGGAATTCACATCTGGCTCCTCCACGACATCCCTCTTCTGGGATTTTGGCAGTGCAGTCACCCATGGCATCTCTCAGCCCTCTACATCCATAGCAGTGAGCCAGCAGCTCCTTCAGGGTCTTCAAGGTTGCTAGTGCTCTCTTCCCTAGTTGGGACTAACATCTTGACACTCCCAGTCACCATTTTTCAAGTCTTGACCAAACTGGTTGGGGATGGGGCATTGGCACAGTCTCATTGGAATTTATCAGGGAAAATAAATGAGCTGCTACAGAGATTCACTGGCTCTGAATGTCTCATTAACACCATAGTATTTCTGGCCTTGCTATCCTGCACTCTTGGACTGCACTTCCATTGATTCACTTGTCAAAATTCAATACATCTGTAATATCACAGTGACTTCTTAGAATTTAAAAAAGAGATTTCATGTGTAGATGATGAACAGTTAGCCAAAAGCTGCAGTTGCGCTGTGTCTATGTAACATACAGAAACCTGTTGATTTTAAGCCTAAAATTAGGTGATGTAAGAAGAAAATCTATATAAAGCCTTATAAATCTATCTAGAGCCTTTGCGGCTATCCAAAAATATTTGTAGAGTTGTAGAGTACTGGTAGGCAATTGGAATTTTTTTTTATTGCAATTTGTTGTTCTCACATTTATTTCCACTTCAGGTTGTTGGTGGATGATATGGTAGGACATAGGAAATCTTTTTTAAGATAATCCCAGAGTGATGCGCCTGACAGCATTACTTATTTATCTCCACTGATTTCAAAGGAAATTTCATCATGATAAGAATTTAATAGTAGATTAAAGCCTTGATTTACCAAAATCCTGAAATGCCTTCCTGATCCAGGGGCAGCCAGGGTACAAGTAAACAAGCTGCATCATGTTCACCCACAGAACTCACCTCACAAAGGGAAAAGCATGGAAATATTCTCCAAGATACTTATGGAGGAGATGTATGTTCTCCCATAGCTCTGTTTCACCTTCCCTGGGCCTACTCCAGCTCCCTTCAAAATCATAGGAGTATTTTGGACTTTTTTTTTTTTTTTGGTGAGGGATAGCTATACCAGTCTC